GGTAACTGGGCATCTTGCCCGGTTCCTGCCATATTATTAAAATTAGCATTCAAGGCTACATCTCATTTTTGAGCTTCAGCATTCCTAAAACAATTGCCTGAGCCTTTGTAAGGAAATGCAACCATTTTGCCCTGTATGGTGGCAACTGACAGCATCCAGACCACACTGAAGTTTTTGTGCTGCAGCACCAGTTCTTCTTGGGAACAGATATTTGTATTAGCAAGTTTCTGCTAAAAATTGTCAGCACATACAGGGCACCAAGAAGGAAGAGACAAAAGTGGAGGAAATTAATCATTTCCAGAGAATATTAATTATTCAGTGTCCTGATACAACACACGGGATAGCAGTCTAACATGCCACACGTTGCTGCTCACAAACTGACACTACACCAGAAATCAGGCACTGTGGAAAGCACCACAAAACCAGCAAGAACTTTATACAGACACAACTATCCTCCTAACTTTTTCCCATATTGCTTGGAGGATTTTAAATTGTAGATTTCAATAGTTACTAGCATGCTGAATATTGAGGCTGTTTTTCCATGTTTCATAACTTTCCTCTTACAGCAGCCTCAGTAGTATTTTTAAGTTCCAGCTCCTCTAATTCTGAGAGCATTTTGATTTCTCCTTTTGTGCAAAGACCATTTCCTCACCACAGACTTCTGAACTGGGTTTAAACTCACCCTCCAGCACAGTGGGGCAGTGCAAAAATTTATGGACAATCTACAAGAAGATAAAAGGGTGGGGGGTTATTGTCCGCAGAGATAGGGCTGAGGGGAGAGCTCAGCTTTGTTTTACTGAGCATTCTGTTGCCTTGCTGCAAGGAGCAGAATGCCCATGCAGAAAAAACATACATAAAACCCACACAGAAAACCAAACTAGTTATGAAAGAGGAGGCTGTTAAGGCAGAGCTCCAAACAAACACCACTTACTTCGAATATCAAAGAAAAAAGCTAGCAATAATACAAGCCTAGTAAGTCACAGAAAGCCTGGCAAAAGCTTCCTTGCAGATCCAGGTTACAGAAGGTACAACTCCTGCAACTGCATCATTACCGAGTTCTTGATCAGGTCAGTTGCACAAAGGCTCATTAAATATTTACAGGTGACATTTTTCTGACTTGCGACAACCAGGATCAAGATAACCATCCATTTTCTACAGCCATTCTGTTCAAATAAGTTTGAAAAGTCAGCCAGCAAGAAAAGAACAAATAGCAACAGAGCCTACAGGATAACAATTGCTTGGGTTTTGACCAGCTACAAATGAAAAATCTTACCCCTTGAAAGCCATAGACAACGGCCATAGTTAGAGAAGTTTCTTCAACAAACCTAGCACCTCTTAAAAGAGTACAAGGCACAAGCTTCAAGACTAAGAACACAAAGAATGACCAAGCGATCAATTTCTAATCACAGTAGTTGCTGGAGATTGTTCTGAAATGGCAAAGTATAGTAATGAGCTGATTTTTTTTATCTGGGACATAAAGCAACAAGCAGAAGAAAGGAATCTCACACACTCTAACACACATTTCCCACAAGAGGGTATCTCTGTAGAAATCCCATGAAAGTCGATTTCTTTGTGTGTCATGCAAACACATTATTTGCACTACCCAGTACCTGGTAATGCACTAACAAAGCAAATCTCTTGTGTAAATGAGATCTAAATCACACCGCTGCGTGGAAAAGCTCACCATTGCCAAGATAAAACAGCCACCAAATCTTAGTTTGTACATACAGACAGGCTCAACTGCTTGTCGAAAAGGCTTCCACCACAAAAATTTCAGAGTTAAAAATAGAAGGTGTGCTTGAGAGCAGTGAAAGTTTTCTTCCCACAATCCTGGCATTATATTCCTTTTCTGACATGAATACTCATGAAAGAAGTGGGATCGCCAGTACTGGAGACAGCCTACTACTAACACCACAGAATTGGTAGACCGGCAGAGACACAAGCTCCCTTTACCAGAATAGTCCTACCTCTCGTACTTCTCAAAGCTCTACTTCGGCTTTCTTGCCTTTGCCATTCACAGCCTGACTGCATGGGCTTTTACCAGGCTCCCACAGGCACTGCTGGTCTTCACAGCAGAGCTGGCACAAACACCTACCCCCTTCACGCAGGGCACCGTGCGGTCACCGGGATGCAAGTCTTTTGGCTAGGTTAGAACCCAAGCCAGGTACCTGCTGGTGAAAAGCTCTAGTAATCCTGCACCAGTCCATGCCCTCAGTCGTTCTTTATTCATCCTGTTACTCTGCCCACAGAAATCACGACTCGTGAAACAGGAGCAAGAGAAGATTCTTCAACCTAAGACATCAAGTCTCACTTCACTGAAATAGCTCTCTCATCACCCGCTGCGTTATGGGGGGTTGGGGGAATCGTGCCCGTGTTCCCAAATGCAGGTCACGCTTCAATTAAAGTTGAAGATGTTCTTTGCTGTGTGACACAAGCACAATGCCCACGGTGTCTTCCTCAAACCGGCGCACTACAGTCAAAGATCATCAAGTCCAACCGCCAAACCAACACCCCCATGCCCACTAAACCATGTCCCAAAGTGCCACATCAACAAGTTTTTTGAACACCTCCAGGGATGGTGACTCCACCCCTTCCCTGGACAGCCTGTTCCAATGCTTGACCACTCTCTCTGTAATGAAATTTTTCCTAATGTCCAATCTAAACCTTCCCTGGTGCAACCTGAGGCCATTTCCTCATGCTCTGTCATTTTAAAAAGACACCATCTCTATTTTTTGCCTCTTCCAATCTATCTCTGTAAATACATAAAATAAATTCCTTGTTAAGGTCAAACACTTCTAAATGTCCCAGTGGATGCAAGCAATCGGGGTTTGCCTAATCCAGTTTACACAAGAGGTTAACATCGATAAGCAAAACCTGAATGCCATTTACCAAGGGACAGCGTGGAAAAATACTCACTGCCTAGGCACAAACAGGGTATCACTGTATTTAACTCCGTAGATACCACTTCCATTCTTTAATGGAACAGGCACCTAGCCATTAAAAAAAAAAAAACAAAACAACCCAGATGCTATAGGAATGCTGATTTCACACACGATTTTCTCATAACCAAAATTACTGAGGTTTTTTCTTTTTTACTGAGTTAATTACAGATTAACTTTGCCCCATAGCAGCAAAGCAGATGAAAGAGGTGAACGCACAACGTACCTTCGCCACTGGTTATTTCCGCTGTAACTGTGCCTATGGATAATGCAGAACCATTTGTGAAAATCTACCCTAATGCAAAATGGCGATGAACACTCAGGACCCTGCACTGCTTTTCAAACAGTGTGTTCTCAAAGTAGGCACGTGTTGTCTTTGTAGCAGGTCAAGCTTTAAAAGTGTACAAGCAACTTTTAATAGAACAACCGGAAAAGCAAGGAAAACGGAAGTTCTTGACCAACTATTTTTCCTTATTGGCACCTAATCCTACACCTTGTGCTGGCTCAGCGCTGTCCCCGACCTGAGCCGGGGCAGAGATTAGCACGAGCCCTTCAGCAGTCGCTAAGAGGAGTTCTGGCAGTTGTGGCCACTCCATGCGCAGTGGCAAAGGGAATCATCGCTGCCACTTCTACTCTGAGGTCAGAGTAGAAAGCCAGTTCCCGAGCTCCAAAGCAGACACCATCATAAGCTCTGTCGAGCCCCACCACCACAGCAGAGTGCAAAAAAGCAGGTAACCACTGAGCGAAGAGAGGCTTCGCACGTTCACCTGAGGCCTCCTACATACTAAGAAAGCTTCAGGCAAACCCCAGCTTTCAGCTAACAGGGAAAATGTGTGTGGACCAACCACAAACTGTATTTGGATGGCTGCCGTAGAAGTGCACCGTCGCAGCTTCTCCCAGCAGTACAATGGGCTCAGATTGAACAAGAAGTAGTTAAGGGAATGAAGGTCAAAATTTCCTGGTTTAAAAGATACCACAATCTCCTGTGGATAACAACCCATTCAAGCAGCTAAGCACTTCCAGTGCATCCAACACCTCAGCGTGCCAGGGACAGGGGCTGGGGTACCAGTGAAAGCATGAACTGCAACCAGGAATAAATGCTGAACTGAAAGGACTGAAGTTTTTGGTAGTACTGACAATACTTGTAGAGAGAAGCATAAACAAGACCATCATTCTGTAGGGGGAAGAGCTGCAAAAGCTATTAATAAGCATGCTCTGTATCCTTTGAAGGCAGGAAATTGTCACCTCTGACGTTTTTCTTTCCCTGTTCACATCGCCCTGTATTAGTGGGAAATTCACCACTTCTCCACATAATAGCATGAATGACCTTTTAGTGGTGCAATTTTTTTACTAACAATACTAGTGATTCTCGGTCTTTCTGACAATGAGCCAAAGTTAAAGCAAAACAAACGTCACTCCCACATTAATGCAGAATCCCGGACCAGGAACGTTTCTCACAGACTACCGCAGGCCTCTCAAAAGGAACAGCCATTCCTCCAGCTCCTCCTGATGGCAGACGGTAGGCATAGCACCCTAACAAGGTACGGGGGTGAGAACGTTGATGTCATCATAGAGTCATCATATGTCAAATGCCGTAATAACGCAGACCTAAGCATAGGGTTTGGTGAAAGACAACACCTGGTTTGATCAAATGCTATGATCAGCGGAGGGCCTTCGCGGGGTCCGCGACTGAAAAACTCCAAGCTGAGCACCAAGCTGCGGCCGACGGCTCCGCTTTAAACTTCTTGTCTAATTGACTTAGTGAAGGAAAAATGGGGAATGACAGCGATAGAACAGAGGAGGGATGTTCACAGTGAGAGGTGATTAGGCTGTGAGCCCCCGCAAGACAGAAGAGAGATTGTTAGGGCAGCCGAGGATGTAAGGTTTGAAAGTGGCTGAAGACGCAAAGGGTGACTTCCATTTAGATATTCATCAGCTCAACAAAGTAGTACAGCTGCCTGGGTTACCTTTTCTGTGAACAAAAAGGAAAGAAATCCAAACGATGATGAACAGACAGAAAGCACACAGGAAAACAAAACAAAGCACACACAGATACCCTAGAGGTATCAAACATTTTATTTATTTTTTAAAGAAACTACAGCAGTATATGTGATCACAAAATTATGAAGCACTGTAAAACGAAAGGAATGAAATGGCCTGGGTCCAAGCGCTAATGACCTCACACCTTTTCTTTCATACCATCACTCAGAAAAATCACATTATCTGAAAAGAAATAAAGAAAATTTAATCGTCAGGATTGTTTCGCCCTGTTGCAAGCCTTCACAGCCACAAAGACAAACAATGTGTTAAAATAAGCTGCAAAGACATGTATCTTGGAACAGAATAGTTCATAAAATAAAACATTGTCCGCTCTATCTCCCCAGAAAGCTGACAATTCAAGGCAGCCATATATATATATATATATATGAAACAAGTGTGCTAAACCTGATGAAAAGCTGCTGAACAGTCAAAGACACCAGAAACATTTTAAAATAATGGTTTAATTCTTTGACTATGATCTCTATCAGTTGCAGCTTATTCCTTTTTCTTTTGTCATTTTCAGTAAGCACTACCATGTCATCAGCCTATGGGACCACAGGAAGCTTGTATTTCACCAAGCCTCGGTAATTTCTAAAGCATTTTGAGACCGGGGATATTGAACACTAATAAATACTAATTGAAAATAAGAGACTTGCTTCTCCCTCCCAGCTATTTATGAAGAGTAACCCACAGCACTGCTAGCTGAACTGCTCATGTGAAAACTTGATCACTATTGTTTCACAGCAGAAACATCCAGAATTGTGGTGGGCTTTGGTTTTTTTCCTTCTCCTCTGGCCCAGTCTTGTAGATAGACTTGTGTAATAGAAATGTTTGCTCTACTACCCAATTTTAGCCCTTCCTCAAAAGCCACAAGATAGTGGCTCTACCCACAGTAAAGAAGTCAGATGCCCACGCTATGTAAAGGCTCCAGGAAAAAGTGGAGTTCCCCCGTTCTCTCCTTCATTGTGTCTACCCAAGGGACAAGTCTACCCCCTATCCATTCCACACTCTTCTTACTACTACTACTGGCTCCCAGACTGAGGTCTTTCTAAGTTCTCCATCGAGTTATCCCCACGTAAAACATCTGTCAGAAACAGAGGTCCTTAAAGTTGGTGCAGCCTCCAGTCTTAAACAGGAAGAAAAAACTCCCTGCCAAACCGAGACAGAGCTGCTAAGCAAACCCTGCTTAGGGAAGGAATCTGCCTGACCTGCAGTACTACATACCAGTGTTCTTAAAACACCCCGTATCTACCTCCTGCACCAACTGGTGGACGTGAGCAAACGACCAACAGTTGGCAACGATACACTCTCATTTTGTGTGTCTCCACAAGCAGCGCCACGGGACACCTGGTGGTACAGCCCATTCGTCCCCAAGTGTGGATGCTGAGGATGAAGACAAACCGAGCTCCATTTCAAAGGTCCTCCAGCCCCTCGCCATTTTAAAAGGGCAAGGTAGGCCTTGGCATGTTGTTCCTTACCGGCTATAATTGTTGTGGCTTGCCGCCTCACGTTGTTTTTATCTGTATATTCACCATAATCTATCTTCCCTTCAACGTAGAGTCGAGCACTGAAAAAATGAAGAATTTTGTCCTGGTCAGAGAACTGTACTGCTGCTTCCTCCCATACATCCATTTCCAAATACACAGGCTTCTGTGACCGTTGTTTGTGGCAGGTCTGCTCACTTTATTTTACAGCACTTTTATCTTTGTATAGCGCCGGGTCACCGTAATTATTACATCAATCCATTATTAAGGCATTAAATCCTCAACCACATTTGTTACTCACCCCTTCTTCACATACTGATAGGTAACATCCCTGAGACCCGGCCTGAAGACGGAGATCCTGTGCCATGTCGTCTTCTGAGTGATATCACCTAAGTTACATAAAAATAACAAAGCTGGGTGCCAAATCCCCTTTTTGACACAAGCCTCAGAAATTAGTTTCAACATGTCGGTGTACTCAAATTATGAATGAAAAGTGATTTGGAGATGGAAGCACAGTAGCACTCAATCTCCCACTCCACACTAGAACTCGATGTTGCACTTATCTGTGTCCAAATGAAAACATCGTACAGAAGCACAGTTCAAACAAGAGATCAGTTTTCCTGGAAGCCAGTGCTCATACTAGAATTTTTTTTCTCCACACACACACTCCACGTTGAACAAAAGTTAGAGAAAAAGAGACATCTGTGGCTGCAGACTGACGGAAGAATCAAAAAGAAAATATATAATTCTTTTTGGTTTTTCTTCTCCTCTTGGAACACAAACAAGAGTATGGAACCTGTTACACCTCTGGCAACCCCAACGGTGAAGAACTGCCAACTTAATGCTCTTTCCCCTCCTCCAGAGGAAGGTCAACACGCAGGTCTCTAGTCAATACATGCTGCCGGGGATCAGTAAGAGACATACAAATGCACCAGCGTCCCTAGTGACCTCGAAGAAACTTCCCTGCACCCCGAGAGATTCACACGGCAGCCTGGAGACAAAGCGTGGTGCTACTGAACAGGCAAACACGGCCTCGGAACATGGCAGAAGGATGTTGCCCGTCGCAGACTCACCTCCCTGGCTTGCCTCGCTTTCCCCTGTTCGCCACATCTCGTTGGTTGCAAGAGAAAAGATGGTAACAGGATTTTTGCCCTCCACTTGCCTCATGATAGGGTCCTGTCCAACCCGACCAAGCAACTGAACACGGTTCATGGCTGAAAGGTGAGAGAGTAAATACAAACACGGGTGAGTTGTGATGCTTCGAATCACGGCAAGTCGTAAGGCAGCAGCTTCTGTCAAAGGCCAGAACAGTGACGGTCTGCACCTCCTAGCTGTTTTTCAAGCTCCTGTGACTTTTGGCTCATTCAGGCCCTGCAACTGGTTGACCATGCCTGTACAATCATTATCCCTGCTGAATAAGCTCATTTAGAGAGCTACAGGTTCTTTATTCTTTCTGTTCCTTTGTCATCTTTCTCACAGGCACGTCCGTATGTCACTTGAGACTATTTTGCATTTACTTATCTTGACTTTTACTTTTTTCATTATGATAAAACCACATCGCATTGCCTTGTTTTGTCCTTAAAATCGTACCTTTAAAACAACAAAGCTGCATTATTACACCCCATCCTCTGAATTAAGAGGGTCACTACTTTTTACACAGGTACCAGGACTAGGTGGACGCAATTTATTACTTCTCCTTGTTCAAGGACAACTGGAGGTCAGGGAAGCATCACTCTTGCACCTTGAGCACATGAACTGAATGGTAAAGACTGAAGCGTACACTTGGAGCAAATCGTGCTGGGGCAGCAGCACCGGAACAAGACCCCCAGGCACACAGGAGTCTGAGACTCAAGCTCGTGAGACACCTAAAGGCAGGCGTTAGAAAACACGACAACCGTGTACCCCATTCACCGCGTCAATAAACCACTGCTACCTGCCTTTGACAGTTTGTTCTCCACATCACAGCTTTTTTCTCTACCCCTTAAGGGCTGCTTGACTTGACAGAGATAGATAGGAAGCTACTTAAGAGTCTGTTGGTTTGAAACACCACTTTCTTAGTTACTGCCTTCAGGAGGTACCCTTCCTACCTGTTTCTCTCCTGGCATATTTCAGCCATTCTAAAACCGAGATTAAAAACCCCAAAGAGTAACAGCTAAGTTTCATCTGAGGAGCTACTTACATCTTTCCAGTACCAATGAGCCAACTGTTTCAGACTCATGTCTTACAAACTGGCGAAGCACCTGAAGGAACAGACAGATGTTAGTTTCCAAAACACAAAGCACGAACAGTATTCACATGCCTTTAGACCTCGTTTTCTGAACACTTAAGAGGTTTTGCAAGTAACATTCTTCTCTGGAGACTTATGTGGGCACTGAGGGAAGAAATCTGTTCAGCTAAATGAAGGCAACAGGATAATTCAAAGAGTATCTGGGGTTAAAAAGCTGCCAAGGAAAAGCACAGCACGAAGGTACATCTCCAGCAATTATTTTTGGGACACAGAGTAACTACTGTTTTTATGTAATATGTAATAGGAGGGGGAGGGGTTTGAAGCAGAGGGATTGTTTAGTTGGTTGGGCTTCAGTTTTTTGGGAACAAACAGTTTTGATCGTTTCATCAACTTTCTGCTTTGGTTCAGAGATTAGCAAGGTGAGCCCCAAACGTATGCCTATCCACTGCCGTAAGCAGCGTGATGCACTAATGACCCCTCAGTCCTGCGCAAACAGTGAATCAAGGCCACAAAAACCTGAGTGCTACAGGTAAACACAAGCGAGAAAAAGAAAAGGAACTGACTTGACACTGGCAAATATCACATCCTAGAAGAAAGGAGAAACGCAGAGCCCAGGAACACTGCTGCAAGAGGCCCACACGCAGAACTGGAACAAAAGCTCATAAAATCATCTTGGTTGGAAAAGACCTTTAAGATCATCAGGTCCAACCACTATCCTAACAGTACCAAGCCCACCACTAAACTATGTCCCTAAGCACCATATCTACACACCTTTCTCTTATAACAAGTGTTGCAAAACCTGAAGGAAGGCAACACTGACAGTCCCGTGTTGAACAGAGGAGCTAAACCAGAGGAAATGCAACTTGCAAAACGAAAGTTCTTTGGTGCATCTGTGCCTACATGGTTCTTTGATGTGTATGCAAATCATCTAAAGACTCGTTCCATGTGTAAGCCAGATCTTTTAATACATCATTTTTTTTCAGTAGCTGAGTAACTGAGGTCCAGCATCTGCATTCTTCAGAGTATGAGCACGAACAGAACTCCCCTGTTTTCTTCATGGGTTGTGCCACAGACTTTTTTTGAGAAATGACAAATAACACCCGTGACCTGACTGGTCCACGGGAGAATTCAGACTTTTTATTCCCCAGGGGCACATCCAGTGCTGGGATAAGGCACCAGCAGCCACAG